GAAGTCTTCAAAAGCGCTATGATATTTTGATAAAAATGTATTATCCTGTTTTCGTATACAAAATTTTGCAGATTGTTATTTTCCATACCTATATTCTACTTTTAAACTATTCCAAAACATATTTTCGATAATTTTTCCATCCTCACTAATAATATTTCTTTCATTCGTTTTTCTTTCCTCTAGAGCTGATCTTTCAGCTGTCAATGCATCGTTCAATGGACTCAAGAGCTCTTCTTCTAATTCAGCAAATCCAAGTTTAATTAACCTTTCTAAGTTATCCATAGGCATTTTACGGTCTATGAGAAGTGTGTGCCCTTCAATAATTCCATGAAATTCAGATTCAGAATAAATCGTTTTATAATTTCTATTAGTTTTTGATTTTGCCCGCACTTTTTTCACTGTACCAAGCGCTTGGTGAAAAGTTGACTCAATAACTACAAAATTTACAAATTAAGGTATAGATTAGTATTTAAAATTTATTAAACAAAAATCAATAGAATTATAAAAACATTTACTAAATGGTAAGGGGCAATCAGCATTATCAACATTCATTTCGCGTTTGATTTCAGAGGGCAGGTTAATCTTTACAAGCAAGTATGGCGTAAGATTTTTAAGTATAAACAACACAAAGATAAATATGAATAACAACCTTAAACCCAGGATAATGTATAAAATCTTCCTTCTCTTCCTGGCTTTTTAAGACTTCAAATTCAACGCCAGTTCCTTCAGTTTCTTCATCCGAATCTTCTTCTTCCTCTTTAACATTCCAATCAAAGCTTTCTAAATCACTTTCACTTATTAAGCAAATTTGATGACCTGTGAGTTTTGTAAGATATCTACAGAATAGAATTATTACAGATTGCTTAATCATAGTATCAAATAAACTACTTTGTCTGCTATCAGAGGATATCTCACCAACCTTTGCAAGTTTACCATATTTTTCTTTTTATGGGAAGGCGCATTTTCTTCATAACAGCCAGGTTCGGGCCAATGAATTACTAGACCCAAGTCAACATTTACTCTAAGGAGATAAATTCCAGGACGAAGAGTAGGCTTATCATTGTCCTGATCAGCTCCGGAAGAATCCGAACAAGCAAGGTAGTTATAACTACAATTACAATTTAATGTATTAACGCACTATTTTTCATGAGTTAATACAAACATTATATCTCAAAAGCATGCTCACGTTGGTTCGTCAATAATTTTATTTTTCAATAAAAGTTTCGCAATTAATACATGATTGCCATAACAACCGATGAGCTTTAGCTTAGTATGATTCAATTTTGTGTAATCGATATTAGAAATCGACTTGAAGCTATTCGGCTCTAAATCGTTGCAAAGTCTTTTCAACGACTCTGTGGAAATGATTATCTTATCAACTTAAAGAAAGAGATGAAATTATTAATTAATTACCAATGCCTTGATCAAACATAAATCTAATAAGAAATAACTTACTACGTCCATTTGATCCATCATCTTTACACAAATCGAGTAAACGATATAGACCTGGGATAGTTTTAGACAGATCTGAATTGTGCAAATAGAATATAATTAATATTTATCGTAATAACCCAATTTATCAATCGCTAGTCATTAGAATATGTTATTTAAACAAATGAAGTTTATGATTTTAATTTTTACCTGTTGTTTTTCCTAAATTTCTGGCCATTGGAGCTAGAGTATTTCTTTTTCTATCAGTATTGAAAAAGATAAGGATGATTTATGTTCGTTTATCTCATCCATTTATCTTAAAATTTTATCATATGTACGTATTAACGTTATTAATACGAGCTTTGTCATTAATAAATACCATATATGGAATCAATAAGGTGTCAATCGATATGGATCATTGTTTCCACATATGGAGAATGGGCTAGAAAATCACATACTTTTAAGCGGTGATTTTCCTAGTCTTTCCCCATTTAACTGCCTTGAGAAAATAAGCAATTCTTGCAGAGTGTCAAGATTTTTAAAGTTCTATAGGGGGCAACAATAACAACAGATAAACAAAGTTAACTCTAATTTCCTGTGCATTATCGTTATCTATATATACTACAATAAGTAATATCGATATACATATTTGTATAAGCTATTTGATAAGAAAGTTAATAGAAATTCTATTGTGAATGAAGTATGGCGTAACGATAAGAATTGCATACAAATAGAAAACCTGAGTTACGTTAACTCCGATATCCAAGTTAGTCCTTACCCTACAAGAAAAGTGGTTCTGGTTATGGTACGGGATGTCAAACTACCCCAACGACCGGAAAGTCTACGGACACTTACAACAGGACAGAACGTCCCGAGTGCCCCGATTTTGTAGATCGTTACACAATTAATTATAGATTTTTTTTTATATGTTTTACAATACTTTTTTCGGAAGCTCAGGTAGATTATCTACTCTAAGAAATGCGGTAGATTATTAAAGAAACTTGAAGTTCTCACCTTGCTCTACAACATATTTGTTTAATCCATTTTAATCCAACAACTTTCATATTGCACT